TAACTGTTGTAACTAACTCATACACACGCACACACACACTGGTGCGTGTGTGTGTGTGTGTGTGTGTGTGTGTGTATTATTGCTCCTCTTTGCAGAAGGTGTAATGTCAAAGTATCACTAAAAGTGGGAGAGCTCACAGCTCTAAGGCTGTAGCTGGTTTTGAAGGATGACTAAATCAGTTAGGTATATAAAAAAGGAAAAGGTATCCCCAGGTAGTTAGGATACATAACAAAGACACACAGGGAGATGTTTCTCTGTTTAAACATAATTTGCATCTACTCTGAAAAAAAGGATAATTATTTTTCATGTTTTCCTTCAGAAAATTAACTAATCATCATGCGGACACAATGAAAATGGGTTTGTTTGTTTTTTTAGACATCGAAAATGGTTCTTTGAAATGATTCAGTTTGAATGAGTTAAGCACAGCAGGAAGGGAACCTGATAGGAACAGAGCAGGAGATGTAGAAGTTCATTCCGACCAAGATAAAGCGAGGACCTCGTAGCTAGGAAATAATGGTTTGGTCCTACGTGTATATTTAATCTATACACAGAAGTCTCTCTCTGCCAAATATAAAGGAAACAGTTGTGAACGTGTTTGTGGTGCCATCCTTTAAACCACATTTACAATAATTATTACTGTATGCTTCATAATGAAATGGTTAAGAGCAAAAAATGGTATTAGTCTAAATACAACGTATGATATGGAAAATTTAAGATTAGATGATCCAACGAAGCATGCAATCAGGGGAAATTGGAGTAAATATTAATTTGATCAGAGCTTTCAGGAGAACCTCAGCACAGAAGTAAAGAAAAACAAGTTCCACCTTAAATTTTCTCCTTTGAATAATAATGTGTGATTCTCCAAGCCACATTAGAGAACAGATGTCATCACTTCACCAATTTTTTCATTCTATATCATAGCCAACAAATTACAAGCATTTGAACACTCAGTCAGTGCCTTGAAGTCTATCTCTGTTTTACTAAGCATTGGCCACCGCAGGCAGGAATGCTCTTGCTTTGTCACTATATAGGTGGACCTGACAATAGCACCACGGAGGAGGAGGTGTCTTCACTTCGCAAACTGACATGCCCCAGTGAAGGTCTCAAACAAACCACCCATTGGCACAGCCAGGAGTCTTCTCCTTTCCTCTTTCCCACTACCCACCTTCCTCTTGTTTTTCTTTTAAACGGTTGGAGGCGCACAGTATTGTCAAAACGCTGCATTCGGACCACTTTGCAGTTTTCCGGGGTTTTTTTTCTCATTTTCCCCTTGTATACCAAAATCATAATAACTTTCTTATCTTGAGTAACCTTTCAAGATGCTGCCACATTTTTCAAGGCTCTTAATATCAAAACAAGTAGAATTTCCCTGACAATTATAATTAAACATTACTATATTTTAGTCACAGAATAACATAGAACTAATTTCTAATTCAAATTTTTCAAACAAGGGTTTTATACAGTTTGTTTTTAAAAAGTAAAATGTTGGATAGATTGAGTTCTATATTATTTTTATAAACATTCAAATTATTTTTCTTTATGATTGTATTGGGATTGCTTTTGCTCTTTACTGATTAACAGTTGTATGCCTTATCTAACTATATGTGTTACTGTATATATAATAGTATGTATAGTAAAGTATTACTTATATGTCTTATTATAAAACACACACACATACACACGCATGCACACAAATGCACTAGCCGCTTGAGTTTTCTACCAATATGTGTTCTGAATGTTAAGATTACAATAGCAAATAAAGGGACAAAAGAAGTTTGCAGCACTCAAATAGTTCATAAGCTTTGGGGAAGACAGAAAATGTACAATTGAATACCTGAAATTTCAGTTCAGTGCTCTGTGCTCACAACAAAGAGCAAACTATAGCTTTGCTATTACTTAAAGCTATCCTGAACATTTAGATAATCTCACAGGCTTATTATACATTATCTCTGTAGTCATATTGCTTAATGACATAAAGGGAATTTGAAATGTAGCCCAGGGTACTTTTTTATTGTTTAATTTAAAACTTAGCACACAAAATAGTGGGTTTATTATGGTGCTTTTATACACATGTGCTAATATATTTTGTTCCTGTGCATCCTCTTTTCATATAGTCCTTCTCCATCCATTTCTCTGGTCCCCTTCCCATATCAAGCTGTCTCTTCCTTCTACCTTAATGGCCCATGTATTCTATCACCTTGCCTTCCCCATTTAAGATGTTTTTCCATTCTGATGTTCCGCTTTTTACTTTCATGTCACACACACACACACACACACACACACACACACACACCTAAATTTCACACACAAGAGAGGAAATGCCTGTCTTTTCCAAATCTGGCTTGTTTCATTTAGCATCATCATTCTGAGTAATTTGTGAATTGCAGCAGAAATTAGTTAAACAAAGAAGAAGAGATTTCAAATGAAGAGACTACATGTTAACTGAGCAATAGATTAGATCAAAAAACATAACCATAAAATCATTTTGTCACTGCTTTGTAACTGTAATTTTGTTGCTGTTATGGATTGTGATGTAAATGTCTGATATGCAGAATATCTGTGAAAGGGTCGTTTGATCTCTCCAAGGAGTCTTGACCCACAGGCTGAGAACCACTGCTTCAACCATTCAGTATCAATGCTGAGGAAATAGGGATTAAAAAGCTTCGAAAGAGTCCTAAGCCAACCTTCAGCTGGTAATGAAAAACTTTATGTACAACTGAGTATCAAAAAGAAAAACTAAACCCTTAATTTACCTTTTAATTTATTCAAGTAAAGTTTCACAAAGGAAGAAATATGTGTGAGAGTGTCCTAGTTATCTTAACTGTCAACTTGTCACAGCCAAGTATCATTTGAGAGGAGAAGCCATTAATGAAGAATTGCCTAAGTCAGATTGGCCTGCAGGCATGCTGGGGAATGGGTATCTTATTAATTGATGTAGAAGGGCCCACCCATTGTGGACAGGACCATTCCCTGGACAGGTGGTCCTGGGTTGTATAAGAAAGCTAGCTTGCACTGGGCGTTGGTAGCACACGCCTATAATCCCAGCACTCGGGAAGTAGAAGCCGGCGGATCTCTGTGAGTTCGAGGCCAGCCTGGTCTACAAAGCGAGTTCCAGGACAGCCTCCAAAACAATACAGAGAAACCCTGTCAAAAAAAAAACAAAAGAAGAAGAAGAAGAAGAAGAAGAAGAAGAAGAAGAAGAAGAAGAAGAAGAAGAAGAAGAAGAAGAAGAAGAAGAAGAAGAAGAAAGCTAGCTTGCTGGTTTCTGCTTTGCGTTCCTGCTTGAGTTCCTTCCTTGATTCCGTCAATAATAGACTATAACCTGTAAGCTGAAATAAACTTTTCCCTCCTTCTGAATTGCTTTTGGTTGTAGTATTTATCGATTTATCATAGCAATAAAACGAAACTCTTTTATATATGCATCACATAGGAGTCTAACTGAATGAAAGCTAATAAGTGACTAGCTCTAGCCTCACTCTCAGAAGTCGGAAAGCCAAGACATAAATAGGCTATCTTCTGCTCTTTCCTGATTAATCAGCATCTCTGGTAGATTTAAAGCTTCCCACTGTGTAAACAAGATACAAGCTAATATCTCATTACAAAGCGAGTCCAGCTGTGAAAGTCCTATCTTTATATTTTCACTTTTATTAGCATAGCAGTGGCCAGTGGTTATAATGAAAAGCGCTTTAAAAGCTGTTTAATGTCATTCATCTATACAACATTTTTTACATAATACGTTTACCACCCTCTACAAAAGACCAAATGGATAACTAAGCCAGGGAATATTTATGGAGGCTTTCATTTGTTTGACAAGCCTTGCTTAGCTGTAGGTAAATTAATGTGCAAATTAAATATTTCATGAGCCAATTTGTTATTGGTTTATTTTATAACATCCAGGTGTTATTTTTCTCTTCTTTGTATTCTATGATAAACAACTGAGGTTCAAATGCAAACACCAAGCATAATTGTTATGCCTGTGAATCATTAAAAATGAATCATGAGACTCCTTGGAAGAAAGAATTTAATCTTTAAAATAAGAAAGTTTCCCTGGGAATCTCATTTTCTACCTTGGAATAATTTATGTCTATTATACCACTTAAATGGAGGCAGCAATTTGCTCTTATGACCCATTCACGTCATTAAAAGTTATTTAAGAAATAATTTTTCTTCAATGGACTATATGTAATAATTTGAACTCTATTGGAACTATTACAAATTAAAACTGCTAAAACATTAAATTTTTCCATTTAATTAAGATGACATTTATATGCATGCTATAAAATAGCAATTGTAAGTATTATCATGTGTGTGCCATGGTTTTTAAAATATTCCATTTTCTAAAAACAAAATAAAATTAGGATAACTGTACTTTCTATTTTGGTAATTATTGCTTAGTCATAGTTTTTGGGTTTTTTTTCAGTAGATTAGGCTCAATAGAAATCATATAGATTCTCCTGTCTGCTTCTGTAGTCAAGTGTGTTTCAAAATGAAAATTTGGGTCAGAACACATCATTGGAGAGGACAGATATTTCAGTAGGTTCTTTTTCTTTGATACATACAAAAGTAAAAATTTCATTTTCAGTATGAAATTTGAAATTATATCAATGAACATTTTGTTCTCTTCATTTTATCAACACAGAAGCTGTAATACACATATGCTAATTGGGTGCAAAACAAGAGGTATATTACATGCTAATTACATCAGGATTTGTTTATTTTTCTCTTTATCATAGACTCAAGTCAATCTGAGACTAATAATTCAGCATCACTTGAATTTTACATGATTTATTAATATGTATGTGTGTATAGATGATGTATGTACCTGGGTGCTTGTAACATGATTCTTAGGTGGACATCAGAGGAAAACTTGTGGTTTGGGTCTCTCCTTCCACCAGGTGTATTTAATCTCTGGCCACATCTCTACAGCTGAGAATCTCTCTCTAGAGTCACTGTAGTAATTTTTAAAAAGTGGCTTGAGAGAGAAAGACACCACAACAGAATTCAAACAGAGGGTTTTTTTATTAGGGGGAGGGATCATAAAAAGGAGGAGGAGGAGACCACCAGCCTCTGGGCACAGAAGCAATGGGAGAAAGCAGAGAGGGGGCGATGGGAGGTGGCCAGGGCCCTTTTAAAAGGAAATATAGTGAATAGACACAGGTGGTGCTCTTAGTGGCTGAAGCTGAGGGGGTATCCCGTCAGAACACCAAAGGCAGGCCAGTACAGATGTCTGAATCCTAACAGTCACCATTCTTGTTGTGCCTCTGTCCCAGAAGGGGAGCACATTTCCAGAAATTACTCTTGGCCCTGGATTCTCACAAACAGCATGGGATGCCTGGACGTTGGGTTGGTTGGAGGCTTCTTTAGAGAGAAACTCTCACCTAGGCTTGTGTCTCTTTTGCTGAAGCTCCTTCTGTACTAGGAACGTGACTCACATCATTTCAGGTTGATCCAGAGTTCCTCAGCCGCTACCTGTCATCATGTATGCTTCTTAGCGTTCCTACACAGGGTTCCATTAAAACTGTGAGATTAAATTCAGAATGATCAGTTCCTGCTGATTCATGTTTCTAAATAATTACTTTCAGTGTAAGCTTGAGAAAAGATGGAAATATTTGAGATAAGAAATAAAAATTATCTACATCAGCACTTGAATATAGATGTGGATGGCAACACAATTCCTGTATCATGAGAGCCATTTAGAAACTGCTCATTTACCTGGCTAATTTGAAGCCACTCATGTTGGAATTAAATAATTAGCATTGTTTTATTAATATGTTCATATTAAAACCACATAATTCCTAAGAACCTTAGAAAAGTAAGGCCTGGTTTTTATATGTGAAGTGCTTTGACCAGACAACTGCTACTCGGTTGATGAAGCTACAGTTAGCTGTCTACACTGTTAGATCTGAGAAGAATAAATCATAGCAGGAAGCAGGAAATATAATCCAAATGGCCTATGTATCAATCAAAATGACAGACTTACCCATTCCCTAGACTGTTGCCCTGGGCTCCAGTGGTCTTAATGGCATCACTGGGGGGCAGTGGTTGTAGGTCTTTGTCACACAGGATGGCATCGAGCTTTGGCTGGTGGGCCCAGGTCTTAGAGATTTTCTTGTAGGGAGGAACCTGTGGGATGGACCTTACTTTGAGAGTAGGGCAGTCAGTACAACAGTGTTCTTGGTTTGTTCAGGCCCTTGCAGCAGGTGAGGCACGGGGAAGTTTTGCCCAGAGGTTCCCATTACCACAATCCAGGTTGAATCATCAGGCCCCAATTGTCTTCTTTGGAGACCTTAGGATAGTGATTCTAGGAGCTAGGATCTCTGTAATAGTAAGATTTTGCTATATTCAGGACATCTCAGAAAAGTTTTCAGAGCTGTATATTAAATATACTTGATTTTAAATAAACTTTGTTGGTGTAGGTTTAGTCTTGAAAACATATACAGGAGGCTAAATAAAGCTTGTCCCTGTAAATGAATTACATCTGCAAAACCAAATTTGATCATTCATAAAGTAACTATCACCCTGGGGTTGGCTGAAGATACCCACAGGTCCTGATTCTCACAGCCCAAGCCAGCTGAAGACATCCACAGGCAAAGCCACAAGGTGCCGGATGGATCGGCACCATTATGACGAGTAAATATACGGTAGAAAAAGGGAGAGAAAGAGAAGTGGACCAGTTCTTTATGCTGTGGAGAGAGGCAGAACTGAAGAAGGAAATGCAGTGAGGAACAGGCTGATGTAGGTAGCCAGCTTGCCACTCAGGGCCATGGTGACATTCAGGCCCGGCTTCTGCCAAGGGCCACGTCTGAGTCTGTGGTCCTACCCCAGCCAAGACATGTGTTGACATCTGTGGTCCCATACAAATGCAACACATCTTTGCATAGTTACACAAAGATTCTGCAAAACTGCAGCTGTACATACCAATCTGAGTGGCTTGTACTACCACCTATAGTCATGGTGACATCTGAGCCCAAACTGCAGCCTGGGCCCCTGGTCCTACCAGGGTCAGGGTCAGCATTAATGTCCATGACCTGTGTTGCCACCAAATGCCACACAGATGCCTGGGGTCTAGTCTGCCACCTGTGGCCATATTGGTGTCCAAGGGCCAAGCTGCTACTAGGGTCATACTGATCTGGGTGGCCTGGATGGCTGCTGGAGCCATGGTAAGGTCCAGGCCTGAGCTGCTGCCAAGGGCCATGTCTGGGTCCATGATCCTTCTGCAGCTGGGTTCTGTGTAGATCTCTGTGGCCCATGTTACCACAGGGAGCCATAGGAACCATGCATGTGGAAATCTAAGGGCCATGCTGAACCAGCACCACCCTTCACTGACCCTGAGGGAGCTGGACCTGCCCCTCACTGGCCCCTGCAGCAGAAGATCTGGTCCTGCCCCTCACAGGAGAGTGGGCCCCACACTTGGGAGATATGGTCCCACCCCTCACCAGGAGTGTGGAAGAGCTGGCCCTGGTGGGGGGATGGTCCCAGTGGCCAAGACTGACCAAATCAGCTTCTACACATCCAAGGCTCTGAGTTGGTTCACCCCAACATCTACCCCATTTATGATCTGTCAGAGTACATGATGGGACTGATCCTGCAGAGCCATAGTCACAGGATCTCCATATCTGAGAGGAGTTTCAAAGAGGGTCCAGTATTGACATGTACTAGAAACCAGAGGCCTTGAACCAAACCGAACAATCCACTGCAATGAACATTTGCAAATAAAGCTGAGTGGACAAAAGTGTAACCTGCGTTGACAGCCGCAGCTTCTAATGCCACTAAGATGAATGAAGAGGTGTTGGAGATGCAGGAAAGGCAGAGGAACAAAGTGGTATTTTTGGTTTTTCTATACTTTTAAAATTTTCTTCTGAGGGGGACTCTACTGAGATGAGGGGCAGATATGGGAGGACAGGGAAATGGGCAGGATTGGGGTGCGTCATGTGAAATTCCCAAAGAATCAATACAAAATTAGGTTAGAAAACAAGGGGACTATTAATCTACATGTTTTAATTGTCTTTAACCATTTACAGCAAGTTAATAGCTGTTATAAGATTAGGATTCTAAAAGCTGAGACGTGGTGGTGCATGCCTTTAATCCCAGCACTTGCGAGGCAGAGGCAGGCAGATCTCAGTGAGTTCGAGACCAGCCTGGTCTACAAGAGCTAGTTTCAGGACAGCCTCTGAAGCCACAGAGAAACCCTGTCTTGAAAACCCCCCAAAAAAGAAAAAAAAAGATTAAGATACTATAGTTTTATCCCTGTTAAGTTTAGCCTTAAAAAATACAATTCTTGAACTGAAGCTTTAGTATCAAAATAAAACTTTAAATCATAACTACAGTTCATAGGGAGACTGGCAACTTTACTTTCCTGGACCCTTCATAGTTCACCATTGAAGAACATTTCTCAGTTAATCAAAATAGCTAAAGTTTCAAACAGTTAGCAAAGATGAGGGGCTAGACACCCATTCTTAAGTCAGTCTCTTTATCCTGAATAGACTTTAGGTGAGGAGAGACTTCCTGTAGACCTCAGGTGAGGAGAGGCATCCTATAGGTTCTCTGTCAGACTGCTTAGGTCATTGTCTTGCTGCATCATAGTTCCTGGTGTTTAGTGGTTATAGCCCTCACTTTAGTTGGCTGGTGACTGACTATGCTGGGTGTTTGGGATTCCAGTATAGCCTTGAGCCTTCCTCAAGGTGAGCCTGGAAGTATAAACACCATGTGTAGGGTTGACATATTTCAGTTAACAAAAACAAGCAGAAGCAGAACTACAGGGGTTAAAAAGCAAGCTTAGCATATTTTAATATTTGCCCAAAACTATAGACTTAGATGGATTGAATCTTTGGTTTAAGATTACCTACACAGCCTTCTAATTATTAACCTTGCATTGTGAGCTTTAAGATAACTTTTGTTACTGATTCTATAATTTTAACCATATCCAATAAACATGTAAGTCCTGAAGTACAGTATACAATAGTTTTACAGATAAAAGGTTGATATCTTAGTAAAAGTTTTAGGCAATTAAATGACTAGTATTAAACATTACCCATATCCAAAAGACATTTGAATCTCTGTTAAACTTAATCCAGTGACCAGAAAGCTTGGAGATCAGGAATTCTGAGCCTTGGCTATCAAAAGCAGCCGTGGCAAACCGAAGCAGTGAATTTGGGCCTGGACAAAGGGCATGCACAAAAGGTGTGCACAGGGTAGCGTGCTGGGGGCGGGGCAGTCCAGCATTGCCCCAGCTTGGCAGTGTGGGAGTGGCAGCAGGTACAGTTTGATCCAGCTCCCAGGTCCACCTGTAATTGGAACAGAACACACACATATCTGGAGACAAAGAGCGAAAAGGAAACTAACCCACAGAAGTCACTCCAGGTGGGATGCACAAAGACACACAGCAAAATAAAAGTGGGGCCATTCAGAGGTTCACCAGCTTAACCAAAGAAGTTTTCTTAGTAAGAGGCTTTTTTTCAGTTGCCACCCTATGCAACTGAAAACCCACCAGAGGCTTCCTAAGTGTCAGGTTTACCTTGTAGAGTTAGGTTGGGTCTTTCCTTGGCTCCCAGAATGCTTGATGCCCCATGCTGGGCCTCTGCAAACCCTCAGCTTGGCCCCCAGTGTCATGGGACACCCTTAAGGTTCCTCAGCAATGTTGTGTATCTAAGGCATTGAAAGCCTGCCAATGGGTTCTCAGATGTCAGGCCTCTCTGATTTTCTCAGCCCCCAGGATCACTCAGGCATCCTCAGGGTCCCAAGGCAAGTCAAAAAAAAAAACTGGTGGCTCTGGCTGAACTTCCAACTAACCAGAATTAGCCAGTGGACCACGAGGACATCTCCTTTTACCCTGGACACAGGAATGCCAGGCCTAGTCAGAACCCCCACATCACCAGATCCGAATTCCACAGGATCAGACAGAACCAGAAACCAGATATAGAAAAAAAATCAAAAAGCTTCCATGATTTACTGGAGGAGACCTCCACAGGAAACAAAAGAAGTACTTGCTGGGGTTTTTTGGTTTGGTTTGGTTTGGTTTTAATTTTTGATGCCATTCTCTAAGGCAGTCGGAAGAACTGAAGATGTGCCTAAGGGCCTTGGGACATCTCCAAGGTGCACACCCCCTAGGGAGCAGCTCTTCAGTCCCTGAGGACCAGAAGGTAGGATCCCACCTCTGAATTTCTGAACTTGGGCTTGGGTCTTGATCTCACTGGGGAACTCCAAATGTTAATCCCAAAGATGGGAGACAAATAACCACAGACTCTTTAGTCAGCAGTGTAAACCAGGAACTACAACCATACAGACTATTCTATAGTCTTAAGAACAACCAGTAGTTGAGGCCAAGGAATGGAGCCACAACATGCCAAAGAAGCCATACCAGAGCCATACCTTGCCAAAGGCCATGAATGATGCAGATATCACACCTTCAAAATCAAGTATCTGGCTGGCTTGCAGCAAAACTATCCCATATGTATCATGTGTTTGAACAACTGGTCCCCAGCTGCAAGTGCTGTTCTGGGACATTGTAGCACCTTTAGGGTGTAGGGCCTAACTAGAAGCACATCGTGGGGAGGGGCAGGAAACTGAGGTTTATACCCCAGCCCCACTTCATCTCCTCTTGTTAGACGTAAGCAGCCTCATACTCCTACCACAGCAACTAAAAGTCACTCCTGAGCCATGCGCTCACTACCTTGATAGCAAGCCACAAGTCAAAGTGAACCATACCTTGCTTAAATTGTTTGTCACAGCAATGGGAACTGTAGTCGACAGAGACCATCCCAGAGAAACCCACCACCGACAGCTTCCACCCTAGATCTGCTTCACAAACTAAACAAGCTTCCCTGGTTTCTAAACTCCACCAGGCCCAGCCAAGCCCTACTTATCACCCCCCACCTAAAACCACCTTACCAAACTGATTAAAAAAGACAACCAGAGCTGCCCAAGGTTTTTAAGCATCTGAATTCATAGTTGAGTGCCCCTCACTTGGCAACATTCTGATAAACCAAGCACCTTGCTTGCCATTCCGGATATCAAAGCCTGTCTCCTGTGGATCCTCTGACTACAGCCACCTTGGAGAAAGTGGGTTACAAAATACCAGAGAGAAAGACTGCTTCCTGTCCACTAGAATGTCTAGCACATGATAGACATGACTCCTGGACTGGAGAAAAATAAGACACAAATATGAAATGAGGTTTTACTGAGGCAAAAACACCTGCCATTGACCATCCACATCCAAGATTGCAAATAGGCTAAAGTTCTGAACACATGGAAACATGGCTGAACGAACCTCAATAGCTACAATGTGGAGTCGGGGGCTGACTCATGCAAGAGGTTTAGTAACACAGCTGACTTTTTTTTCTTCTTAACCTCTCAAGTAAATTACCCACAGAAATTTTTCTAACAAAGCGGTAATATCATTCTGCAGCTGATAACCCCCCATAAGTTCAGAGCTCTCTATGGGGCATGACTGGCAGGGGCTGGACTCTGGAATGCCCTTTCCTAACCCTTGGATATACTAGCCCGTCTTATATGTGGAAAGAAGCCTGGTGACCTCCTCAGCTCTGAGGACAGTGCAGTCTTCCAATAGTTTTGGTTATTGTCATCACCAGATGTGAGAGGAAGATGTGAGTTAAGACATCCCACATATATAGGTGAGCAAGGCAAGTTACCCACCAGCCATAGTGTCAACACAAGAGCAACACAGAAGTCTCTACTGGGCAACCAAGAATGGTTTTGTCTGTGCTAGTGAAACCTCTCTCAAGTCTATTTAAGAATGAAATGAAACAGAGTGTGAGGAAGAACACTCAGGCAGCCGTGACAGGCTCAGTAGAAGGAAATCTAAGGGTAAAGGAGTGTCTTCTTCATGGGAACACTGGGTGGTGATTAACCATAAAGAAAATGGCTTCAAGTGATGCCACGTATCTGGTGATGAAGCATTATTTCAGCATGGACACATTTCCAATTAAAACCATCACATTTTTACCTCTGCTTCTAAGACATGGACTGAGCCAATGCCTGTCTAACCATTGGCACACCTTCTAGTGTGTGTCCTATGTTTTCCCCTCCCTGACCATTCTACTCAAAGGAAATAATATTTGTTTGCTTAATTGCTAAACTGTGACTTGCATTTGCATTCTCCAGGTAATCTTTCTCATGTCTCCTAACTGAACCTAGACATATTAGTTTGTTCACTTTGGTTCCATTTTTTTAAACTAAAGGAGTACTTACTTACTCCATCAGTAGAAAAGACCTTCAAGGAAGATTCCTTTTGTTCTCCTGAAAATACTAAAGAGTTAAAGCCAAAGTTTGGGCATGCCAAAAGAATGCAGTAGCCAATGATGCCACTAAGTGATATACAAGTGTGAGGCAATCTGGTCTCAGGTTGCATACCACCTGTGACCACAGCGCCAATGCTTTTACTAAGTCATCTGCACATGTGGCACTCTGAAGGCCTGGGCGTCTACCAGTACAGAGTTTGAAGTTTAACCAAACCTGGAAGCCTTGGATTAGTCAGCAAGAAAAAGGAGAGCCTGGTCAATGGCTACAGCATTCCTACTTTAACGTTCCAGGGCAATATCCACCAGGGTGTGTGCTGTGAGCTCTGTGAAGCAGGAGACCCACCCGCTCTCACTTCTTACTGGGTTCAGAAACACATGATTGGAGTTAAAACCATAACAGGATTTTAATTTTCTTGACTTCAGTCCTGTGATTAAACTGGGAGTTACTTTCTTGGACCCAGGGACATTTTAGAACTGCTACTTTCTCCCTAGTGGCTTGACAGCTGCTGCATTGTTGCTGTCATGACATACTAGAATATGCTGAAATGTATCCCAAGGCCCAAGGATGAAGGAGGAAGAGTGAGGGGAGGAGCTAAGAAAGACTCTTTCCCAAATTTAAGAAAATATACTGAAAGAGATTCAAACTCTAGCACAAGAGCAATTAGCAGCTTGTGACTGTGCAGTCACTGGAGAGAAGCACAAAGACACTCCTGCCTCACCAGCACCTGGAAGATGTCCTTTGACAAACAGAGAGCTGGGGTAGGTTCAGGCTTTATTAAATAAGGAAATCACAATTCAAGCCAAAGCATTACATCATATGTTCCAGGTAGCTCTGCACCCCCTTCCACAGAAAAC